ATATATATTTATATATATATATATATATATATATATATATATATATATATATATATTATATATATATATATATATATATATATATATATATATATATATATATATATATATATATATATATATATATATATATATATATATATATATATATATATATATATATATATATATATATATATATATATATATATATATATATATATATATATATATATATATATATATATATATATATATATATATATATATATATATATATATATATATATATATATATATATATATATATATATATATATATATATATATATATATATATATATATATATATATATATATATATATATATATATATATATATATATATATATATATATATATATATATATATATATATATATATATATATATATATATATATATATATATATATATATATATATATATATATATATATATATATATATATATATATATATATATATTACTTTTTATTATTTGTTTATTTTATTTTTTGTTTGTTTTTACTTTTTGAAGGGGAGGGAGGTTGTAAATAGGGGAAAATGTATATAAAAAAATAAAGTCTTGTCAAATCCTTGTATGTAATAATTCACCTTGTTTTTCTTTCAATGAAAATTAAAAAATAAATAAATAATGTGTAGATTACACACAATCACATTTCTTATACAACTTACAATGCTGTTTTTACCTGAAGAACAAACTGCTTTATTCTGTCACTCATACAAGATGAAGGCACTTATATTGATAAACTTCCTATCAAAAACCAAACTGAGAAGAGTCTGCATCAAATCAAACACACATTGCATGACTGCTGTATATTATATAATTACATTCTTCTAAAGTAATATTTCTCACGTCTATTATCATACACATTTAGAAATGGTACTAAAGCTGCAGTGATGGCTTTCATGCATTAGTATCTGAAAGCTCTACATTATTAGCATATCAGCAGCCAAAGTGAGCATGTCAGTCATTGAAACAAAATATTTCAGTTTGAACCCCTTGAAAAGGTGCCATCTGCATTTTCCAACTTAATTTGTGCATATTACATGCAACTTGAATTATTTATACTTGCGTTATTTTCACTTGAACAAAATGCATTGTCCTGAAACTCGTAAGGAAAATCTAATTATAAATTGATTTATCCGAAATACACTTGCATCTGCATTAACGCACACATATTAGTTGAGTGCAAAACTTATAGAATTACATTTTTTTTTTAAACTTTAATCATATTGGGCATGTGTAACATCATACACTAGCTGCAGCGCTAACTTTCCAAACTATGCATTCATTCAAAACTAAAAGCTCCATATTGATATTAATAACTAAAGCAAAAATATTTTAAAAACCTTAAAATGGTGCTTCTCCTGTTTTTGTGCCTTTATTTTTGTGTAACTGCATATTTAATAAATTAATAAAACTATTCTGATGTGAAATAATTTCCCATACCAGTTTAAAACAGGCAGTGTTAAAGTTTCACCTCAATTTACATTTCAGATTAAACCCAGAGTCACTCACCATCATTTAAACCAAGGCTGCCCAAACATGTTTGAATCAAAAACCAAATATCGTTGAGTCGTGGGCTGAAGATAAAACACTGTTACAATAAAGTTGCCATGGGTAGTTGAAAAATTTAATAAAATTTCAAAATAAATAGAAAACATTAATTTAAATCATGTTACCGAATGCAGCATAACTTTAATCATCACTTGTAATAAAAACAATTACATTTAACACAGAATTTGCCTTGAATCGCTTAAGTATAAATTACTGATTTATAAAATTTAATTTGTTAGCTTATAACAATAAAGAGTTACATTAAATCTGAATTGGCAATCTTGAATGGATGGCCATTATTCTCTCTCTTTTTAGATGTGCTGGTGGGCCAAATCAAAGGTTATCATGGGTCAGAATTGGCCCGCAGACACGGGTATCTGGGCATCTGTGGTTTAAACCAATCATGATCACATTTAACCAACTCAATCAAATTAAACTGTTTTTAGTCAATTTAAATACTCTACAATTATTTGCTTTAGAACAGGGGTCACCAATCTCAGTCCTGGAGGGCCGGTGTCTCTGCAGGGTTTAGCTCAAACTTGCCTCAGCACACCTGCCTGGTGTTTCAAGTATACCTAGTAAGAGCTTGATTAGTTTGTTCAGGTGTGTTTGATTAGGGTTGGAGCTAAAATCTGCAGGACACCGGCCCTCCAGGAACAAGTTTGGCAACCACTGCTTCATTAAACACTAATAGGGTTCATACACGTTTTTACTATGAAAAAACAAAAAAAAACAATTCACAACTTTCCAAAACTTAAATTATGACCCTCATGTTTCATGCAATATTTACATATGCATGGTAAAATAAAAATGCATTTTCAAACGTATTGCAGCATATCGTGAAACACTCAGCAATCTATTTAGTAAATTTATTTCCCGGTAAAATTGATTTATATAATGCTTACACTGCACTAATAATGTGAGCATGCGATTGGCCAAGGACATGATAGTAAAGACAACTAACCTATATTTAATACAGTGATTTAATTTCCAGTTTTAGAAAAAAGTTATTGGTTTTACTGTTTTTCCAGGCCTGCCAGATGCCATGTCGAAACTCCATGACGTATGAACCCTGCACTTAAAACCTCAAGTCCAACAATTGGACATTTGTGTAAACTTCTGTCTGTATAGACAAAACTACACATTCAACATGGAAAGCTAAGTAGAATTAAACTAAACTTTAAATCAATTGGTGTACAGAAATAATTTCAGAAATGAAAAGTCCAAAACTCGCTAAATTAAGAACCCGACTTCACCTTGGTGATAATAAAAGATGACCATGTATAAATGTGATTTCCCCATGAAGACTCGTCTGGAAAAGGCACAACAGAACCCGAAGCATTTGAACAAACGTTTTCGTTTAATAGGCTCCATGAAGCCACAATTGGAAAAAAGCAAAAATAAAAATGAGAATAAAAACAAAGTGTCAAATTTCAATACAAAGAAAAACAAGAGCACAAGGATATCTCAGTTCTGGAGTTTACGGTTCACAATTTCTGCTTCTCTTTCAAGTAAATGATCGATATATAACGCGTGTGAGAATAGGTTTAGTCCATCATTAAAACAGGCATGGAGCAGAGACAGAGATATCGATATACCTCCGCAAGAACAGCCGCACTGATGCCGGACGCTCCAGCGCTCACCAGTCTGAAAGGAATTCACTTTTTGGATATTGAACATGGACAAATTTGTTGCTTTTTTTTTTTTTTAAACACAGCTAACAGAAGGAGCCGTTCTCTTATAAATGACAGCGCAGGTACAGTAACACTCTTTGATCCCCATAAAAGCAGTCGCACCGCGGACGGTGACCCCAACAAACGCAACGCTAAAGGATTCAGAAAATGAGGCTCGTGGTGCAGAAGAGGAACATTCATTCATTCACGGCCGAGAGAAATAAAAATACAAAACAGCCTTTTTCCCCCTCAAAAGTACAAGAACAGAACAGAAACAACAAATCCAAGAACAGATCCATGAGTCTTTAGAAACGCTCGGCCAGTGACGCGTCAGGTCTTGGGTTTTAATCTTGTACAGCTGAGGAGGAAGTATCACACATCAAGACACTGAAGAATCGCAACACATTTGAGACAGATGATGTTGATTAAAGGGATAGTTCACAGAGAAAGTTAATCAGACAAATCGTTTACCGTTCAAACATTTGGCCTTCTGTTGAGCACAAAAGATAATGTTAAAGAACTGGTAACCATTGACTTCCAATGTATTCGTCACCCATTATGAGCGGACATCATAAAGCTGAAAACTGGTATCTGTTTTCCATATTCATCAAAAAAAAAAAAAAAAAAAAAATTTGCAGTTAAAGTGGACTGGTTGTCAGCACTCAAATATCATGGGAGTCAATGGTTACCAGTTTTTGGCCATCTAAAATATGATAGTGAATGGTTACTGGTTCTGTTCAAAATATCATGGAAGTCAATGGTTACCGGTTTACAACATTTTTCTAAATATCTTGTGTGTTCAACAAGAGACATGTTCAGAATTATGAGTGTAAAATGACAATTGTCAGTTTTGGGTGAACTATCCATTTAACACGAACCCGCTAACTAAATAACTGACAGACATGAACACAGGAGAGTTTGAGCGCTGGATTTGGAGAGTGAGAGTGGATCAATGCAATTAAATCAATATATTATGATGAACATGCATAAAGATTGATCATAGGCACTTCATGATGCCATTTAAACTTTTACAGTGCTTTAGGCATATTAAGACCGTTTTATTTGTGATGCGTGTAAATCAATAACTGAAAACTTGGTTTGCTTTTCAAAAACACCATATTAATCTACATAGAAAACGGGTTTTATTAACCTTCGCTTAAATACACGCTTGTTAACATTGAACCAAGCCGAATTAACAATTATAAAAAAATAAAATAAGACTACCAAAGCACGCATTTCCCTTAGCTGATGCCAATTGCTCATCTAAAGGGAGAGTTCACCCAAAGATGAAAATACTCACCACCTAAACTTTAGTTTCCCCTGTTAAATAGATTATATTTCACAGAAAAAGCTGAAATCCAGTAACCACTGACTTCCATAGTAAGAAACATACTCAAGTCAACGGTTAAGTTTCAAGCTTTCAAAATATTCTTTATCACAGGAAACGTAAAGGCCTGAACAGGTAAAGGCCGAGTAAAAATCTCTTTGAGTGAACCATCCCTTTAATGCTGAATGCATTCAAATTAAGTTAATGGTTTCACTACATGAATAAAATAAACAGCCATTGCAATTTGTGTCCCTGTTGATTTGAATGCACGCATCGTTTACAAATGAGACTTTGGCAACTTAATTTAAAACATGTGCCATGAACCTGCATATAAAATAAAACAAACTACACTGAACATTGGTCATTAAGTATTGTGCAGCTTCAGAGAATATTGTGACTACACAATACACCATGATTAAAAGCTTTAGCACTTAAATTGGGGAAAAACAAAAAGCCTAACTGTGGTGAAGATGCACACGGAACATGCCGTCAGCACACAGTCATGCGTTTGGTCCTCCAACTCAGCAAATCTCTACTCCAGCAAAAAGACTAGATGTACGGTACAACTCAAAGGGCGACTCTTGGATTAACTGAATTGATTAACAGAAGCAGATGAGCTGGTGACTATGGATATGGGAGGTCAGGTAAAGCCTGTTTGTCCAGTCTACGGCAGTCATGCTTGTATGGGGACTGTAGAGCGGAGGCTAATACGTACCATAGCTATCATAGCCATCTTTGTACGAGCTGCTTCGATCACCGTAACCAGAACCTCTGCAGAAACAAACAAAACATACGAGTCAACTTGGATATTAAACAATTTCTAATAAGCATGCTTGCATTGGCTAGAGAAATGACCATATATGTCCCTGAAGCACAAAACCTAGCACATGCACAATTTTGATAATGTCTAAAAATACATTGTATTGGCCAAAATATGAGACTTCACACCAAGATTGATTTGCATCCATTTAATGCCATATTAGCTTCATTTAAAATAAAATACTAAAATGCATGAAAACTAGTATTGTGTTACACTAATCCAGAACTGCAATAGCAAATGGAAATCCTTATTGCCTAATTTTTGGTAAAACTTTGGCAGAAAGGAAAGCTCTAATATTAAAAGCAGTACAGTCCAATACAACACAGAGGAATGATATTACACAAAAGCAGAGTGGAAGATCTTGAAGCAAAATGCACCTGTTAGTCTAATATAAACAACGCAACATCTGGTCAAATCTGACCTTAAACTGTGAAACTCATCAAGTCCAAACATGATTTTCTCAGAATTTAAATACCATTTAAAAAGGAGTTACTTAAAGTTTACAATGCAGTAAAAATGATAATAATAAAAAGTGCACTGCATAGTGAAGCAAAAACAAACACTAGGGCAGCACAATAGAGCAAAATTATAACAATATATTTACATTGAAGTTACACTTATTGATTTTTATTTTACAACAAAAACTACACTATCTAGATCTATAAGGCATGTTTGATGATAGATTGTCACAGAAACCATTTTGTCCATTTCAGAAACCAATTGTCCGAAGTCTTAAATGTTTGCACAGTGGTTGCTATTTTTATTTATTTATTTATTTATTTTTTAAGTCTGAAGAAGATCTTTTACTCTTATTTCTCCTGTAGCATACAGCAGTTTCACCCCTGAAGCCTAAAATAAAACTGCACTGCATATAAGTGAGGCAACAATCACACACACACACACACACACACCTGTCTCTGTTGTACCCTCCGCCTCCTCCAGAGGAATATCCACCTCCTCCACTCTTGTATCCTCCTCCACCACCACCGTAGCTTCTGTCTCCATAACTGCGATCTCCTCCTCCATATCCTCCACCTCCACCTTTGAAAACAGCAGCAGGTTAAAACAGAGCATGCACATATGTGTGTATCAGATTAATCCGCTTTCATCACACCTCCTCGTCCTCTGCCTCCTCTGAAGAATCCTCCTCCACCTCCTCTTCCTCCTCCGCCACCTCTGTATGATCCTCCTCCACCTGATCGGCCACCGCCGCCACCTCCACCTTTACCTGCCTCATCCACACGGATCGTCCGGCCATCCACAGACTGCAACACAGATAAAAGGGAAACACTTATTTTCAGGCCACATTCCTTTATTTAAATAGCTGAGACCAATAGAATTTAAAAGGGCACCAGGTGTGCAAAAAATGACTTCAGCTAGGTTTAACCCAGTTGTGTGAATATCTCCAGCAGCCTCTGGATTAATTATATTTGTTCTAATCAGACTTGCAGAAACATTGATATTCTAACTCTGTACGTGTCAGAGGGGGAAAGCCCCGCCCACTAGTGCCCATCTCTACCTCATTTGCATAAACGGATCCATACTTTAATATATGACAACAGCTGCAGATTATAGCACATCAACTGGTAGAAAGGGCCATATTATAGGTCCCCTTTAAAGTGTACAAGACAAATCTGTCTTCCCTAGAGCATATGCTTAGTTTCAGCATAAAAAAACACTAATAATTTAATAACTATGAAAATGCCACTTTAAGCTTTGATCAAAACTGTGCAGTTTGTGACTTTAAATAAGGGATGGACACTTGAAAAGAAACTGAAATTCAACCTATAAACTCATTATGTAGGAGTATTCACTCCAATACTTCCCAATGAGGAAGAGGAATGGAGTTGTGTTAAGCATTTGCATAACCATGCACCGTTTACACTGACAGATGGAGAAACGGCAGAATTCACATTAGATTTATATTTATTGTAAAATTGTGTAAGACAAAAACTAATCGTTTACAAATTAAAAAAGCAAATGATAACGTCAGTTTCTTCAGTGCCACTTGTTAGTTTAATATAGTGTGAAGTCTCCTCATTTAAATGTTTTGTAAACACGTCTCTGCAAGTTTCACTTAGTCACATATAAAGACTACAATAAATGCGTTTACAGGGCCAAACACTATTCTGTGGAAGGCTTTTACTTGGCTTAATACAGAAGTTTAGTTATTTTTTTAGATACTTTAAACATGCCAGAATAAGCAATCTAATTGAACACTTTTTTTTGTTTTGTTCAGAGTACATTAGAGTATTCTTCTAGAATCACAAAACACCATTTTTGTTGATCCAAAGGGATGGAGTATAGCACTTATTCAACCCAATGTGTTAGCAATAACTTAACATTAATAAATAGACATGGAACAGCATGTCTGCGCCCCCTTCTGTAGAGTTTTCGTATAATAAGACGTACTGCCGTTATAAATATAAAGAACGGTCTTAGTTCCCCCAATTTGGGAATTAAATTCACTGTAAAAATGTTTAACAGATGTTGAACATAGTCCCTTTATTAACTTCTGTAACAAAGCTTGATTTATTGTTGGTTAGTGGAGTTTGTCTGATTAGCTTTAGTTCTAGCTCTAATAGCTTTACATGACTTGGGAAAATTAGGACCCATTAAAAATCATTAAAAAGGCCTACAACACCACACTTCAGTGAAATTAAGACTCTTTACAGGACTAATTTTGAAATGCTTTAGACAATATGCCAAAGATATCCATTTTAGTGAAGGCACTATTTCTGGGATGGCTTGCTGGGATCTTGTCATTATACATTCAGTTGGGACTGTTAAAGTGTGGATCAAAACCAAAACTAACCTTTCCGTTCATCCCCTCCAGTGCATCCTTCGCATCATCTGGATTCTCAAAGGTCACGAAACCGAATCCTCTGGATCTGTTGGTTTCTCGGTTTCGGGCAACATGAACTGAAACAGACATGATAATGAGCTGTGGCTGTGCAG